TCTTTCAGGTCTCCCACCTGGGTGCAGGGGCCCAAGGACTTGGGCATCTTCTACTGCTTTCCCAGGCCACAACAGAGAGCTGGATCAGAAGAGAAGCAGCCAGGACTAGAACTGGTGCCCATATGGGATGCTGGCGCTTCAGGCCAGTATGTGCCATAGCGCCAGCCCCTGTATTTTGCTTTTGAAATTTACCTGATCTAGGAAAGTACAAAGGATATAAAAACAAATTGATATCATCTTCCCATTCAGAATGCATGGTAGCCGTAACACAGCCCTTTTGAGGTATGTGCCTTTGAGACCTGTTTCTTTGATGAAATACTATTGATATTGCTGAAATTCCATTACATGTGAATTATTTATTATTATTTATTAAGTCCTATTTCTAGAAGCTACAGGCATATGTGTTAACATTAAAATCCTTTACAAATATTTCTCTGTTTTAACTAATGTGCCTGATTGTTAGTATGCATATCTATATGGTTCCATATATTGCTTTTAAACTGGGCATTACTGTAAAATATATTCTCACTGATGCAGTGAATAAATTCCTTTTAGAAGAATGCATGCAGCATCTCAGTATATGACTATGCATTATTTCACTCATAATTTCTCTGTTGATGTTATTATATGTACATTCTTTATATTGTAGTAATTGTTTCACATAGAAACTCCTCTACTGCATTATAATTGCTTGAGTTTCATATTTTTTTTAAAAATCCATTTTCTTAGGAATAAACATAAAAATAAAGGAATAGCTAAAATGAAAAAGAATTAACTATCAATGAAAATAATGATAAACTGGCATAAAGCAGAAACCACATACTTGAAGATACAAGACTGAGCCTGGGAATTATTGGATTAAGCTGGTTAAAGGTAAAAACTACTCAGGCAGAAAAGAATGTGTGTCTTCCACAGAAGCTGTAAGGAGAAGCAGCATAGAGGATGGGGAAAAATCAGAACCTCCAAATATATAAATAACTAACTACAAGCATAATTCAGTGATCCCTTGATACATGCAAAAGAAGTCTTCCTTCATTCCTGCAGATTGTAACCTAAGAGCTGTCGCTCAGAACAAGAGCAGGGCCAACTGTACCTTTTCTGAGAGAGCAGGCCTGAAGAGCATAAGGAGCCGGCAGTTACATTTGAGCGGCCCCCACCAATGGCACAACCAGTGAGGGGCTCCTTCAAGGCCAGCTGGACACTGCAGCTGGGAGCAGTTTCCTCAAGAGCTGTGGGTGGGGGAGGGAGGGATGGAAGCCTGAGAGTTCCCTCAGAGGAAGAGGTAACAAACCCAACGAGGCTGTGCCGGGACCCTCTGCAAGATATTCTCACTTCCTTCAGAAATCCCCCTAGTCCTTTTCTTTCTTCAGCTTTCTTTTTCAGTTCCCTCAAGAACCCAAAACCCTCACACTGAAGTTTGCAGCTCAGAGCTCCCTGCTGAGTCATTTCTTTGGCTGCCTTCCTGGGCTGACCTTACTTACTCTCCGTGCTTCAAAATGACCTGTTTGTCAGACTTTTCACCAAGACCGCCTTAACACTCCCCCAGCTTGAGTATACTCGGCCTTCCTCAATGGAGGATGGCCCAAGTGCTTGGGCCCTGCACCCGCATGGAATACCAGGAGAAGCACCTGGCTCCTTGCTTTGGATCGGCGCAGCTCTGGCCATAGTGGCCATTTGGGGGGTGAACCAACGGAAGGAAGACCTTTCTCTCTGTCTCTCTCACTGTCTAACTCTGCCTGTCAAACAAAACAAAACAAAACAAAACAAACTTGGCCTTCCTCTTTGACTCCAGAACCCTAACCTCCATCCTTGAAGAGCAACTTTAGGAAATCTGAAGTTAAATATTTAGCAACTAAGTATTTTCTTTGCCCCCTTGATATGTAAATCATTTAGAAAATCTTTTGTAAATTTTAAAACTTAAGGATATCTTCTTCCGGAATCTTCAAGCCATCTCTTTGAAATGTAGTCACCAAAACAGAAACTCTGTCTCCCCATTTCTGTGGAAGGGAGAGGGCCTAACTTTGGTGGGCACATTGCTCCAAGGTGTAAAGCTGCCTCCTGTCACAAAGGTATGAGAAAGTATATTTTGGCGTGCGGGGTAAATCCAGTTAGTAAACACAAATGGTCTGTGTTCTCCACTTCACCCTGATGCTGAAAAACACTCCCTCTGCACGCGGGCCTTTGGCTTAGCGCTTAAGTCACTGCACGAAACACTGACATCCCATATTGGTTGGAGTGCGTGGTTCATTTCCCAGCTCCTCTGCTTTCAAACCAGTTTCCAGCTAATCTGCAGCCTGGAGAGCGATGGCTGATGGCTCATGTGCCTGCCACCCATGTGGGAGAGAGCTGCATTGAGTACCAGGCTCCTGGCTTCAGCTTGGCCCAGCCTTGACTGTTCTGGGTACTTGGGGATGGAAGATCTACCTGTGGATGGAAGATCTGTCTGTCTCTCTCTCTCCACATTTCAGATGAAAATATATTTTTAATCTTCTTTTCTAGCAGGCAATTTGGTCTAGTGGTTAAACATTTGCATCCCATATTGGAGTATCTGGGTTTGGTTCCCAGCAATGCTCCTGACTCTAGATTCCTGCTAATGCAAATCCTGGGAGGCAGCAGTGATGGCAGTAATTGGGTTCCTGTCACCCAAGTGGGAGACCTGGGTTGAAGTCCCAGGTTGGCTCCTGGCCTCAACTTCAGCTTGGGGCCATTGTGGCTAATTGGAGAGTGAAGCAGTTGATGGGAGCTCTCTCTCTCTCTCTCTCCTTCTCCCCACCTCTCAATTAAATACTTAAAAAAAGAAATTACTTTTTTTTAATTTGAGTTCTGCCTCTCTTCCCTGCTCAGCCTTGTGTAGTCTTCCTTGCTTGTTTAACATTGTCCAAAGTTTGCTTTGACACTTGCAATTTTCTACCCATATCAAAACTCTTACTTCATAATCATTCTTCAAATGAAATGTCAGAAGTAAAGTTGTCAGACTTCAGCAATTCATGCTATATAAATTGCTATTTCCTAGGGGCTTTCACATAGTTTTAAAACTGCTATCTGCTAATTAATATGTATTTCTGAGCTGCTTCCAAGCAAGGTAACAGCAAATAATTGGCACATTGCAGGCAATCAGGCGTGGATATTTTTGGCCAAGGGAGCAATTTTGATTCTCCTTTTAGGCTTTAAGCGTATGGCTCTCGATTTCAGCTCCATGTTAGAATTAGATGAGGAGTATTAAAAAATGCTGCTTGGTCCTATCTCCAGTGAGTCTGACCTCCTTGGTCATAGGGATTTTTGAGAAGCTCCTCTGTTGATTCTAATTTGCATTCAAGGTTGTAAACCAATGCCTACAAGAAGTTTTTTTTTTTTTTTAATCATTCTTCTATTTCTGAATTCAGCAAACTCTTATTGGGAATCTGTTTTCTGTCAGATGCTGTCTAGATACCAAAATGAATGTGGCACAGCTCTGCATTTCAAGGAGCTCTTGGAGCAACAGGGAAGGCAGAATATAAATAAAGAGCTTCAACACAATAAGAAACATAATTGGAGTTCATGCAAAAGGTTATAGAAAGGCAGCAATTAAAATTCTCTGGGGAGCATGGATGAATTCATTAGGCCAACTAGGTGTGCAAGGTGAGAGCTGCAGTAGGATGGGGGAAGGATTCCAGGCAAAGTAAACAACAGGAACAAAAGCCCAGCGATTTGAAAATCACTATCAGCTAAATGTTCTAAGGGTCTTTGTTATTGTCACTGCTACTACAGTGACACACAATACTTTGTCTAAGTGTTGACTTCTTGGTTAGTAAGGGGGTTAAATATGTATTTCTCGCATTTAGTCAAAAACAGTGAATCCCAACAATGGCTTACATGAAAATCATCTGGGATGTTTTATGACAACGACAGAATGGCACTGGTTTTCTACCCTGAAAGAAAGTTGGATATTGTTGATCTAGAGGATAGGCTCTGACATTGTTTTGGTTTGTTCGAAAAGCTACCTATGTCATCTGTTTCAGACAGGAATAAGGAACATTTATGGGGGACACTGTAGTGTTCTCAAATTGAATTGAGGTGATGCTCTAATACATGCATTTGGAAAACTTGGAACAGGCATTTAGCTTATGAGTGAAGATGCCCACACCCCTTATCTGAGTGCCTGGATTTGATTCCCAGCTTTAGTTCCTGACTGTAACTTCCTGCCCATGCAGACCCTGCAAGACAGTAATGATGACTCAACTAATTGAGTTCCTGTCATCTACTCATGTGCAAGACCTGGATTGAGCTCCTGTCTCCTTACTGGGCCAGCCGCCTGCTATTGCAGGTGTTCAGAGAGTGAAACAATGCATGCCACCTATCTCTTCCTCTGTCTCTCTGCCTCTCAAAACAAAACAAACAAAAATACCCAAAAAACAACGAGTACACCTCAATCATAATGAATTGTACTTTAAATGGGTCGATTTATGGGATGTAAATTATAAAGCTATTTAGCTGTTTCAAAAACAAAGCAAAAATGTAGCATATTTAATGTGAAAAATCAATTACTCAAAAATGCCTTGGGTTGAGTAATGTGCTTTGAGAAGCCCTGGCAGAAATCTTAAAAGCTTGCAGATGGAGGCTGTCTGTACAGTGATTGAAAGGAGTAGCATCTGAGAAAAGGGAGGTCTAACAGGCACAGAACCTTCATCAGAAAGACTAATTGAGCACTTGACATGCCATCTAAAGGAATGCAGGCCCCAAGGATATGGTATGGATCACCTCTTAGGTTCAAAATTGCAGTTCGTTCAAGTACTGCACTTTAACGGAGCAATTACAGAGCTGTTGGTATATTGTATTCTTTAAGGCTACAGTGAAATAACTGTTATGTGCTAGCTTTATTGCCCTTTTCAGATCAAAATGTCTATTCATTTCAAAGATCACTTCAATGGAGATCTCAGGTGGCTCAAGCTACAAGCATTTTTTTTTACAAAAAATAATGAAAGGTTAGCATTTCTTAATTATAAACAAAACTCCAAAAGACAAAAGACTTCATTAAATTTAGTTACAAGAATAAAATGAATAATTATCCAACTGCTTTCTAAGAAACTGTTTTATATACAGTTGAGTCTGTCTAGGTTTATACAGATAAGACACGATCAAGCTCAATACCTCTCAAGTCTTTGTCAATTAGTCATTTGAAATTTCTTTCAATGAAATAGAACCAATGACAATGTAACATTTAGATATTTCCCATGTGGTTACAAGATAATAATTAATTTCACTTAGACTTTAAGCCATTTCTCAACAGTTTATGTACAGGAATAATTTTATGCAGATTGCAATGTAAAATAATTAATCACATATGTATTGCAACACCTCTCATGAAAATAAATTAGTCAACTTGAAGTCATAGGTTAACCTGAAAGGCAGGTTTGAACAGAGAAAATAAACAAGGAAAGTTACAGACAACTCCTTTTTATTAAAGGATGATAGGAACCTTGAATGCTGAGTTGGTATCTTTCCTTGGTCCCTAGAACATTTGTTAGAAATTTTAACTACTGAGGCTATAATTATCAGTCTGAAGGTGGTTAAAGTATGGATTCCTCAGAATTTTAGGAGAAAGCAAAAGTTTTTCATATGAAATTAATTATCTGGGATGTTTTATAAAACAAAATAGCAATGTTTTTCTACCCTGATAGAAAAATTTGATATTGTTGGTCTGTACAGGGTAGGGTGTGCCTCTGTTTTGAAAAGTTACTGATGTGCTTTATTACAAACAGGCATAAGGGGGGCCGGTGCTGTGCAACAGTGGGTAAAGCTGCCGCCTGCAGTGCTGGCATCCCATATAGGCGTTGGTTTGAGTCCTGGCTGCTCCACTTCCAATCCAGCTCTCTGCTATGGCCTGGGAAAGCAGTAGAAGATGGGCCAAGTCCTTGGGCCCCTGCACCCACATCGGAGACCCAGAAGAAGCTTTTGGCGCCTGGCTTCGGATCAGACAGCTGATCAGTTGCGGCCATCTGGGGAGTGAGCCAGTGGATGGAAGACTCTCTCTCTCTCTCTCTACCTCTCCTCTCTCTGTGTAACTCTGACTTTAAAATATATATATATATTTGATAGGCAGAGTTAGACAGTGAGAGAGAGAGAGAGAAAAAGGTCCTCCTTCCGTTGGTTCACCCCCCAAATGGCTGCCACGGCCCGTGCGTTGAAGCCATTGCTCTGCGCCAATCCAAAGCCAGGAGCCAGGTGCTTCTCCTGGTATCCCATGCAGGTGCAGGGCCCAAGCACTTGGGCCATCCTCCACTGCCTTCCCAGGCCACAGCAGAGAGCTGGACTGGAAGAGGAGCAACCAGGACAGAATCTGGCGCCCCGACCGGGACTAGAACCTGGGGTGCCGGCGCTGCAGGTGGAGGATTAGCAGCGCCGGCCATAAATAAGCATTTTTTTTTTTAAAAAAACCAAACAAACAGGCATAAGAGACATTTTGTGGGGGAGGTGGTAGTGTTCTCAAACCGAATAATGATGAGGAAGAGGAATGGTAATTTGCAGAGTAACCCTCTGGAACCGAAAGTTCTAATATTTTCTTAATCTTACTTAGTCAAGGGTCTATAGAAGTAACTGTAGGGGGTGTGGCATCTAGTAAAAAAGTCAAAGAACAGCAGATTTTTTTTTTTTTTTTTTTGCACAGCCCAGAGGAAAGACTTCTTTGTTCTTTCTCTAGCCAGAAAGATCCTTGGGATGAAAGAGGGCCATTAGATCATCACAATTTGAAGAAAATGTGTCTTAGACCTACTCTGCTTTCTTTTATCGGGAAAGAAATCTAATTTCCCTTCATCAATTCACAGTCGAAACAGACCCCTGTAACGAAACACAGAATGACAGCAGAAAAATGAACAATTTTTTAATTGCAGCACAGATCAACCTGGAGAAAACACAATGAAAGGCAATTCAACGCCGTGGCTTAGCGCTCCATTTCATACACCGCTGTCAACAAAGAATCACCTATGTGTCAGAGGCACGACAGCACAGAGGAAAGCAGTTCTAGGCTTCCAGCGGCAGGAATCCTGGAGGATATAAATAAACGGGAGTAAATTAGTGAAGTAAGTTTTGTTTGTACTGGTAGATTCCTTGCAGGTTATCTGTGAGCTGTAAGAGTTGTCTCCAGTAAAGGAGAATTCACATCCTGTCTTAAGGAGAAGTGGGAAGCTCAGAAAAGACTTCTTTCTCTGCTATCCGCTCGTATCTGCTGGTTTACTCCCCCAAATGCCCACAACATCTGGGGCTGGGCAAGGCTGAAGCCAGGAACTTAATCCAGGTCTCCACATGGGTGGCAAGGATCCAGGTACTTTAGCCATCCTCACGCCTCCCAGGGTGTGCATCAGCAGAAAGCCCAACTTGGTGGGTAATCTGCAACTCAAACCCAGCCATTCCCATGTGATACCCAAAGAGCAGCTTAACTGCTGCACCACATGCCTCCCAGCTCCCCACCCCCACTGTTTGCTGCTTCTTAATGGCATTTAGTTTAAAATATTTATATTAAAGAGAAATGCTTTGGGGTGGCATGTTCTGACTTCCCTCACTTTCACTCTGTCTTATATTCAGCAAATAGTTTTTTTTTTTTTAATTTTTTATTTTTTGACAGGCAGAGTGGACAGTGAGAGAGAGAGACAGAGAGAAAGGTCTTCCTTTGCCGTTGGTTCACCCTCCAATGGCCACCGTGGCTGGTGCGCTGTGGCCGGCGCACCACACTGATCCGATGGCAGGAGCCAGGTACTTCTCCTGGTCTCCCATGGGGTGCAGGGCCCAAGGACTTGGGCCATCCTCCACTGCCTTCCCAGGCCATAGCAGAGAGCTGGCCTGGAAGAGGGGCAACCGGGACAGAATCCGGCACCCCAAATGGGACTAGAACCCGGTGTTCCAGCGCCGCTAGGTGGAGGATTAGCCTAGTGAGCTGCAGCCCAGGCCTAGCAAATAGTTTTCTTATCTATCACTCAATTAACTAAAGGAAAGTGTGATTCAAGAAAGAATGCCCTAAAGAGAAACAATTCCCAGTGTGTGACATCCTGGTTAACCCCTCAGTCTCTTGAGTGTTTGGTTAGAGTGAATCTTCTGAATGAAATGCTGAGTGAGCTGGAGAACTAACACACTGAGAAACAGATCCTTACTCGTCATAATTCTGAATTAGTGTCACCCAGCGACTCATCTAAACAGCCAACTAGCAAGGGTCACCGACTTGACTTCTCTCAAACTTGAGTATACCTGCTAGAATCACATTACTACCTGCTAGAATTTTACCATGGCAGTAAAACGAAAAGGAAGAGCTTGGATTACTAACCTCCCCGATTTTTCTCTTAATACAGATCTGAGTGAATACTCATGTGAGGCGAATGAAAGACCTGAGTTGGAGCCCAGTTTTACCGTGGCTGGTGATACCAACACGCTATCAAACACGAGAGCTCCTCCGAGAAGGGAGAGAGAATTATGGTTAACTTGCTATGTTTTCATTAGAAACTCTCAGTTGTTTTTGGGAAGAGATGACTGTGGTTGAGACAACTCTATGTTTCCATTTTTTTTTTTCTATTCTTTTTTCCTGGGCAGACAATTAAGTCACGTTTCCAAAGTTCTCTTACAGTTAGGTGCTGCCATCTGGGGATGTATGTAGGAGTGATGTGCATTCCTAGGTCTGGCACATAAAACCTCCTGTATGACCCTTCATATGCTGTCTCTTAAACCAAAGCCTGCACTTTGAGAGTTTAGAGACGAGAGGAGTCACCTAAACATTACATTTGTATGTATGAGATTATTACAGAAACAAGAAAGACATGAATATTAGGATAAACTACCAAAACTTTGGCATTGTTTTGTTAAATCAATTAATGTATTCTGACTAATGCAGAAACTGGTGCAGATTCGATGCTTCTGTAACAGAATCTAAAATATGTGATTGACTTAGTGGTTGTTAGTAGGTTGGGAAGCTAAGGACCCATGTAGCAAATGTCTGTGCCAACTTGTAAAGCAGTGTCAATGATTAGCATTGATTATTTTCAACGTAACTGGTTGTTATTGTTTGCATTTGGCAAGATGTTGGAAGAAAGAGGTGAGTTCAAGACAGATTTGGCTGCTTTAAAGATAAAATGAAAGGAAATCAATAAACTCATAACTTATCAAAGCTATCCTAATTTATTTAAGATGCTTTAAGTAAAATTTTGAATAAAAAATAGAAAACTTCTTCTTCTAAAGAAAGAGATCCAAAATATTCTTTAATCTTCAAAATGAAAGATAACTAGGGCTGGGTTGTGGCATATTCGCTAAAGCCACTGCCTGCAACAGTGGCATCCTATGTGGGCCACAGTTCATGCACCAGCAGCTCCACTTCCTATCTGGCTCCTAGCTGGTGTGCCTGGGAGGGCAATGAAGGATAAACCCAAGTGCTTAGGTCCCTGCAACCATGTGGGAGACATAGAAGAGGTTCCGGGCTCCTGGCTTCAGCCTGGTCCAGCCCCGGCCATTTTGATGATTTGGAAGTGAATGAGCAGATGGACCATCTCCCTGTATCTCCCTCTCTCTGTGGAACTCTGCCTTTCAAATGGATAAATAAATCTTTAAAAAAATGAAAGATAACCAATGCTAACATTCTGTATATTCCTGTGCCCAGGAATTTATACACCATACGTACACATACAACACACACGGTGGAACACATAGGAAAAAGAGATTTGAAACCTTTTTTTTTCCCCCAAGTAGTTACTGTGAACAAGTTTATATTCCACTAGTTATTTTTCTTTTTTTAAAAATTTATTTGCCAGAGTTATAGACAGTGAGAGAGAGAGAAAGAGAGAAAGGTCTTCCTTCCGTTGGTTCACCATGGCCAGAGCTGTGCCAATTTGAAGCCAGGAGCCAGATGCTTCCTCCTGGTCTCCCATGTTTGGTGCAGGGGCCCAGGCACTTGGGCCATCCTCCACTGTCCTCCTGGGCCACAGCAGAGAGCTGGACTGGAAGAGGAGTAACTGGGACTAGAACTGGTGCCCATATGGGATGCTGGTGCCGCAGGTGGATTAGCCAAATGAGCCACAGTGTTGGCCCCTCCACTAGTTATTTTTCTACAAAATCACTTTTTTTGGTGGCTTAATTTTATGTTGCCATAATTTTTTAAGACTTTTATTTGAGAGGCAGTGTTACCGACAGAGAGAAGGAGACATACACACACACACACACAGGAGAGAGAGAGACAGAGAGAGAGAGAGAAAGAGAGGGAGAGACAGACAGACAGATATCTTCCATCTTGCTGGTTTACTCCCCAAATGGTCACAATGGCCAGAGCTGGGCTGATCTGAAGCCAGGAACTGGGAGCTTTTTCTGGATCTCTGACATGGGTGTAGGAGCCCAAGCACTTGGGCTACTTCCACTGCTTTTCCAGGCCATTAGCAGAGAGCTGCATCAGAAGTGGAGCAGCTGGGACTTGAATCAGTACCCATTTGGGATGCTAGCTCCAAAAGTGGAAGCTTAACCTACTACAGTGCCAGCCCCTGTTGTCATAATTTATTAAGCTAATAATTTATGGCTTTTATTTCATATTTTATAGTATAAAAAACATACATGTGAATATATTTATAGTCAAATATTTGTTATATATTTCTAGAACTAAAATTTCTGGGTAAACAGTTAACACAGTTTGGAGATTTTATATATACAATCATATTTCAGGAAAATTTTACTAATCTCTATTGCCAAAAGTAGTATGCAGGAATGCCAATTTCTCAATTAAATTTTTTAAAGGTTTATTTATTTATTTGAAGGCAGAGTTACAGAGAGAGAGAGGTTCAGACAGAGAGAGGTCTTCCATCTGCTGGTTCACTCCCCAAATGGCTGCAACAGCTAGGGATGGGCCAGGCTGAAGCCAGGAGCCAGGAGTTTCTTTTGGGTCTCCCACATGGGTACAGGGACTTAAGCACTTGGACCATCTTCTGCTGTTTTCCCAGGTACATTAGCATGGAGCTGGATCTGAAGTGGAGCAGCTGGGACTGGAACCAATGCCCATATGTGATGCCAGCATTACTGTAGTAGTTTAACAACTACACCATAGCGCCAGCCCCCTCAATTAAACTTTTTAAAAATTTATTTTTCTTTGAAAAGCAGAGAGAGATTTTCTATCTGTTGGTTCACTACCCAAATGGCTGCAACAGCCAGGACTTGGACAGGCTGAAGCCAGGAACCTCTGGCACCATCCAATTTTCCACATTGGTGACAGAGACCCACGTATTGAGGCATCACTGCTGCCTCCCAAAAGCTAGATTAGAAGCAGGGCTGGTGGGACTTGAATCCTGTATCCAGATGTGGGATGCAGCTGTCTCAAGCAACTTGTTAATCGTGGTGCCACATGGCTGCCCCCGATTTCTCAAATTTACACTATTATTTTATTTTGCTTTTTCATCTTTCCTTTTGAGATAATATTTGCCATAAGCGGGGTGCAAACTGTTGAAATCTTTACTTAATGTATACTAAACTGATCTTCTGTAAAAAAAAAAAAAAAGAAGAAATTATCAATTCCCAACTTGACTCTCACTGGGATTAAACATGACAATAGGTCTGATCTGATTTCATCATCATTTAAAAAATCATCTATTATTTTTCACTTTATGTTTGTGTGGGAGCAAACTGTTGAAATCTTTACTTAATATATGCTAAACTGATCTTCTGTATATAAAGAGAATCGAAAATGAATCCTCATGTGAATGGAAGGGGAGAGGGAGTGGGAAAGGGGAGGGATGCGGGTGGGAGAGATGATATGGGGGGGAAGCCATTGTAATCCATAAGCCGTACTTTGGAAATTTATATTCATTAAATAAAAGTTAAAAAAAATGTAAAAAAAAAATATTTGCCATAAGCCTTATAGCTTGTGGCTGTAATTAGTTCACATTAACTATAATGTCTGTATTAATTAGGATTAGGCTGAGTGATACTGACAGGAGGTCCATCATTAAGGAAGCTGCCTACCTAGGGGTGGGGAAACTTTTTCTGCCAGGGACAATTCAGATATTTGTAACATCATTCACAGGCCAAACAAAATTATCAGCTTAAAAATTATCCTGGTACAGATTTATTGAATTTCAAGTTCCACCTGTGGTTGCCTGGGCAGGGCCAGACCAAATGATTTTGCAGGCCTTCTCTAGCCCACAGCCCAGGGGCTGGACATTCCCAACTCATGATGTCACATCATGTGGGCTCACATCATGTCAGATGTGGGCGTGACCACATCAGGCCCCTTAACTTGCTGCAATTGTCCTTACTTAGTACATGGTCTATAATATCTTGGTCTAAAAATGCCATCATCTGAATTTTAGGAAGCAGTATGGGGGGCAGATAAAAAAGGAAGCAAAGGGTAACTTACATAGTTGGGGTCTTCCTTAAATAAAGGTTTCTTATGTGCTGAATAAAACTTCCACTTTTGTCCCATTGGCCAGCACCTGGATACTGACCAGGGAGATACAAGAAGACTGGGAAATACAGTCAGTCCCCTTTCTGGCAAAATCCCCAGGTAAAATTCCATTACTGTGGAGAAAGGAGAGTGTATTAGTTTGCTAGGGCCGCCTCAACCAAGTGGTGGCTTAGATTCTAGAAGCTTATTGCCTTGAAGTTCTGGAGACTTGAAATCCAAAAACAAAGAGTCAGCAAGGTTTGCCCCTTTGAGAGCTGTGACAAAAAGGTCTCAGGTCTCTCTCCTTGATTTGTAGGTGGCTGTCTTCTTCCTCCATATTTCCACACTATATCTTCCCTCTATGTGAACCCCTATGTCCAAACTTGGTGATTTGATGCCCATCCTAATGACTACTTCAACCTGCTTACTTGTGTAAGAACCTTCTCTCCAAACAAGACACATTCTTAGGTCCTGGTGGTATTTTAGCAGTGAAATCTGTGGTTATACCATCCATCCCATAACAGAGAATGTACTTTGGGACCATGCACCCCCTTAGCTGACAGTCTAATGGCTGCCAATATGGCCAATTTTAACACAAACCAGGAGGAAGAGGAGTGAGTTAGGCAGAAGTAGCAGTGTAAGGACAAGTGGCAAGCCCAACTAATAGCTGCTTCTTGCAGTGATCTGCCATCATGGAGACTGAGCAAGGCCAGTACACCCATAAATAGTATCTGTTCTCACTCAGGAAGCCAGGGCTTCGGGAAAGCAGCTGTAGTGACAGCTGCTAGCACCTCAGATCCCTGCCTGCTCTGCCAAAAGCCAAGCCTGAGAGTCAAAGGACTGATTGGTCAGAACTGCAGACCCTACGGGCCCTAAGCTGAGAAAGCCCTTCACTTTGCCTGGTTCCTGAAATAACAATTGCTATTGAGGGGGCGATCCTAAGGTCACTGCTGACATTGCAGGTAGGATTGCCCATTTCATTTTAGAGGTACCATGTATTCTGTACCAACCTCCTATTTGGGCCAACTATCTTATTAGTCCAGCCAGGTAATGGAGTCAATGTGATGCCTTCCCTAAGGAGATTCACACCCCCGTTATAGTTCAAGATTTCCAGGCCATTAGTGAGGCAGAAACACCAGCATTGTGCCCAATCCCTATACAATATTAAGAGAAATACCCCTTGGACTAAATGGTTTTCAGTCTTAGATGTTAAATATGTATTTTTTTCTGCATTCATATAGACTCCTCCTGTCCTTGCCTTTGAATGGTTTAGTAAACAGGCAATAAGTGCTCCCACAAGGATTTATAAACAGCTCCCACCTATTTGGTCAGGCCCTTGTGGGGGACCTAAAGGACCAATCTGTTGGGCAAGAGGGTAGAGAGATGATCTGAAATGTGGATGATTTGTTAGTTTGTTCCCCAACCTGAGATTCCAGTTTTGGACACCCTTGACTTCCTAACAGAATGTATCTACCAAGTGATCAAGGGAGAAGCACAGCTGGTCTGCCACGAGCTAAATTATTTAGAGCTCATCCTCACCTTTGGGCAACACAGACGTTCATCAGGCCATGCAGCAAATTCTTAGTCCTATAACCTTCAGATAGCTCTGGCATTTCTCTGAATAACAGGTTATGGATCCCTAGATACAGGGAAACAGCAAAGTCCCCATGTCGGGCTCCCAAGAGCAAGTGAGAACAGGGTTACCTCCTTTAGGAAAAAAACAGAACACAGTCTTCAACAAATGAAAGGCTGCCATGACTAGGGCCCTCATACTGACGCTGTCAAGCCTGGTACTTCAACCAGACAGACCTTAGACATGCAACTGCTGACAAAGGGGGTATCTGTGCCATGCTCCATGAAGAATGTTGTTTTGGGGGAAATAAAACTATACAGCTTCAAAGCCATATTCACCACTTCTTGGGTGAGGCCAGACAACTCCATGACCAGATAAAACAGGGTTGGAATTTCTGCCTCAGCATTATGTTGTGGAAATCTGGTTGTTGGCTCTCCTTGTCCCTATAGCTCCTGAACTCTTGTTGCTTCTCTTTGGACCAGGAATGTTTAATGCACTCATTTGTTTTGTCTCTAACAGAATTTAAGACATTCAGCTCCAGATGGTCATGGGTCAGGGCTTCCAGACTATCCCATTGAATGATGTAACCAGCCCTCTGGATCATGCAAGACAAGCATTGTCCATACTAGTCCCAAATACCATAGGACAGATAGAAAGAGAATATCCACACCCAACTTGACATGCATATGCCAGCTTGAGGAAAATACAGAAGATGGACTGTCACCCACACTACCCTCATAAGATTATGGGTTACTTCTTGTGAAGGGGTGTGTGTTAGATAGCAAAGTTGACATTAGTCTACATGTATAAGAAGAACCAAAGAAAAAAAGATGCTTTTGGAGAAAAGGGAATGTTTTTGTGGTTGAAGTAGGGAAGAAACATGGAAGACAGATTCAGAGGCAGACTGCATTTGCACATCAAAAGCCTTGTACTTGTTTGACAACCTTGCTAGGTGATTTCCAGCTCTCTCAGCTGGAGCAGCTTAGGGGACTCTTCCCCACCTTGAATCAAAGGGGCTATTAGGTCCAATAACACCGTATCAATAAGGTCCTCAGAGGATTTTCAGGAATTCTATACCCAGAAAGCTCTCCACTCTGCAATTTCCCAGAAGACAAAGGAGGGGAGGAGAAACACGGGGACCCACACTCATTTCCATAAACACTACAGTGTGAATGCAGACTGGGCTCTCAGTTGTTTTTCTGGGATGCCTTCCTGGTCTGTCTGGTCTGTCCGATGTATTCTCTTTATTAAACCTTGTGACCTTGGTAACCACTGAGAGAGTGAGAGAGAGAGAGAGAGAGAGAGAGAGAGAGAGAGAGAAAGGTGGATGTTGTGAGAAAATTCGCAGTGTTTGTCACAATGCCTCTAACATGGAGGTCCTTGGCTTGCAGTCAATGATTGGAGGATCCTTCTCTATGTATCCCCCAAGCTGAATCAGTTACTTATGGGATTTCACAGAGCGGAATCTGCTTCATTTCCCTCCTTAGCTTCCTTATCAAGGTGCCTCACCAGACACCCTGACTGCTGCTCATGTCTGCTTTGAATCTGTGCCACAGGGTACATGTATGTGTATGTGTATGTGTATGTGTATGTGTATGTGTGTGTGTGTGTGTGTGTGTGAAGGTAATCTCTCACTTTCTCTCTAGGGTTCCACACTGCAATTACTCGTGTCCCAAGTAACACTTGTACTACTTACTACTGCTGAAAGTAGCAATTAACTTTTACTATGGGCAAAGTACATTCTGGGCACTCTGCTAAACACTTCATATGCTTTATTTTATGTGAACTTCACCACAACTCTCTTAGGTAGACAGCAGAGGAAACTCAGGTATAGGCAGTTTATCCAACTTACTCAAGTCATGTGGCTGGTCAGTGGGGGAGGTACAATTACAACCCAGGTCTGTCTGCCTTCCAAAATCTTTTACCAACATAACAGCTACAGTTTATGACTCTATCTCTTGGCCAGCGACTACAATCTCAAGGGTGGTTTGGAGGACAGATGCTGGATCAACTCTTAAATTCTGTATTTCACTTTCACGTCTCTTTCTCTTCCACAAACATCCAATTTACTGACAAGTGTTCTAGATCTTAGCTCCAGAATACACTTCCATTAGCCACTACCCATCATCTAAACCCCTGGTTTAGATCTATAACAATCTGGGCATGCAAATCGGCTCTTATTGAATTTTACTGTTTATGTTAGAATTTATCTGGAATACCTTCCAGATTCATACACAAATGAATATTCTTACAGTTCTCCTGTTTCACTCTTGCTCCTTGAGGTTTGTTTTCCACAGTATATTTGCTTTCCAGGGTATAACCATCTAAAGATACAAACCAGGCCACACTAATTTGCTTATTAAAATCCCTGCCCACACCTTTGGCATCATCTCTCCCACTCCAGCTTTGCTGACTGCAGACTAGCCACGCAGGTCTCTGCCATTACCCCAAGGCAGGCCAGTTTTCTCCCATTTCAGGACTTGCATTCTGCTGGCAACTCCTTTTCCCCAGACATTGGCCTTCACGCCACCTTCTCATCCCTATGCCTTAGTATAAATGCCCTTTCTTAGCAAGGTGCCACTTGACCAATCTAAAGAAAATTTCCATCTCTTCCTGTTACATTCCTCTATTTCATTTTCCTCAAGACACTTGCCAATATAGGTCATTATCATAATTTTTTATTTGCTCCTTACTAAGCACGCTTTCTACCCTGAAACAAGAAGGCACGTTATTATTCACTGCTTGCATTCCAAGAGTCAGTAAAGTACCCCAAGCATGGCAGATTGCTAATCAATAATGGCTAAACAATGAGTGAATCAATAAACCTCCCAACATGTGGTGCACAAAACTCCTTCCTTCCACCTAGAAACAGAACAAACAAACAATAAAATAGCCTCAGAAAGAAACACCCTGCAAAAAGCAAGCTTATATTCCACTTTCAGCTTAGCAAGCACACACAATGGGGTCTGACATCTTTCTACATCTTCCCATCTGTGATCACTGCCCTACATTGCCTATACTGCCCTGTGTAGCAGGCTAAATGAAGTTGAAGGGCAGATCACATTCCCAAGGTAGACACTGTCCAACTGTCTATTTAGAAGGGTTAACAAGGCGACATCTGCATAGAAGGGAGTCTAACAATATTTTTGGTGTTCCAGGACAGCCTTCCTTAACCTCACACACAGCAACCCTGTACATTCTAAGCTATCATTATAACTAATCACAGAGGAGGAACTGGGGTAAAAAAAGCTTCCTCCAAATTACATAGGTGGTAATTTTCAGAGCTAGTGTTTGAACTTCAGATGTTTTGCTTCAGAATCCGTATGTTTAACCATATTATAAACAAGATTTGGAAGATGGTGACCAGAATATACCTAACAGAGACGGGACTAGGAGAGACAGGTAAATGTTTTGAAAAATTTATCCTATTAGATTCATAAAAACATCTTCTAACTAATCAAAAGGCAAATATTAAACTCTTGTAGATGCCACATTTATTACAGGTAAACTTTTGTTATGTTCAAATTCCAAAGGAAAGATCAATTTCTTCCCGGTATCCAATTTTCCTTGCAAGAGAAGTCACAATCTAATTTTGTAGCCTCTGATCAAATATTGGCCCTGACTGATGTGCCATTTGCATTGTTTAGGAACCTGCAACGTGGACTCCCTTTCCTCAGCAGAGGCATGCACCTCACTGAAGCCTGTAGACAGACCCCACTAGCTCTAGACGTAGACTAGTCTTTGTAGCTGCTACCTGTGTGACCTGGGACAGGGCACACATTACTCCACCAAGTTTGTTTTGTCATCTTTAAAATGGGGATAATATCCACCACAAAAGGTTATAGTGAGGGCAACAAGCTAAAATAAAAGAATTCCTTGGCATACAGTAGGTGCTGGATAAATGTTTTTGTCTCAGTTATTATGATATGTAATATTTAGGTTTTTTGCTTAAAACAGATCTTCCCCATCGATAGACTTACCAACATACTTGGGTTAAATGGAAGGTTTCCAGAATCTCATTTTAATTATTTAACTATTACTTGAGCAGCTCCTGTTAACAAAACCAAGTGTCATTAGACAATTACATTTCAGCTGGGGCAATGAGCGTTGTGTGTGGCTCCCTGTTTTAAGATCTGGACAGTGGTAAAATTTTAAGTGAAAAATGGCTGAAGTGGCAGGATAATTCTGAGGAAGAAATTCCTTTCACCTCCAAGAATTGGGGCACAGGGTGGAGAAAGGGCATTTGAGCTAAATCGCAAAAGATGCCACCAATAAGTAAGCAGTTTTTCTTCGGATGGGTCACAGATTAAATACTTTATCCTCTTCAGTAGGATTCACCTTGTGCGCTACTTTTATTACTGAATTTCTAGATGAGGCTGTAACCCCTGTTTCTATTATTTATTGTGCACTTTCGCCCGACAGGGGTTGTCTTCCCACCACTGAGTGCCCCAGCACAGCTGCAGTGAGAGAAGCAGCAGGCTGCTCGGGGCTATAGCACAGCCCAAGGTTAAGAGGGCGGTTCTAAGAGTCTGCTTCTGCTTACTTTCAAGCTTGGGTTAAATGATTACACTTGGCTTGCGTTAAATGATTTTTAAGAGTTGGCAGATAAAACACGGCGCACTCCGTTAAATTTGAACAACCGGTAATAAATCAGGTTTGACTTTAAGTTTATACCATGCAACATTTACGGTATGCGGATTACAAAATATTTGTTTTTTATCTGCAATTTTACATTTGACTGGGTGTCCGGTGTTTTTATTTTCTAAAACTAACAACACTCCTGACCTCACTGATGAGGTTTATCAGCACATGGGGCTGAAAACAGCATCTCCCTCTTGGGGTGATATACAGGAAGAACTTGCTTACCTTAAGCCTTGCATTTACCTTCCAAGTCAGGGTATTCTAGAAAAAGACAATGGCCATGGGCACACCTAAACGGGCTTATGGCTTTCCTTAGTACACGGTTTTCTAAAGAGTGCAGAGAAAGTTCCTAGGACTTTGAACAAAGTTACAGACTGCGTCAAGACATTAGCAAATCTGCCTTCAATGTAACAGCAGAGGATGTTTAAGCCACAAAGAACCAAACTGAACTCCCAGCAGCCGGCGAAAGTCGCGGCAGTGTCTCCGCGCAGGCGCACACGCACGGCCGCGTCTCCGCACTCGGCCCCGCCCCAGCGGACAGAGGGTCACGTGGGCTAGCCGGAGCAATTGGGGCAGTCTGGGGTTGTCACGTGACCCAGGCCCCAGCTTCGCACAGGGATGGAGCCGGAAGAGGGGACGCCCTTGTGGCGGCTGCAGAAGCTGCCAGCCGAGCTGGGCCCACAGGTGAGGAGGGCACCGGCGGCGGCGGCTGCTGCCAGGGCCTCGGCTCCGGGGCGGCCTGGCTCGCGGTCACGCTGGCTGTGGCCATGAAGCGAGCTCCCCAGGGAAGGGAAAAGAAAGCAACTTGATTGCGGGCGGCTGATCCTCTGCTTCCCCTGGGGGGGCGTGGGCGGCCGAGGCCTGGGGCAACACGTCCGCCTCCCGGCTTGGTTGCGGCTGGAGGGAGCTGGTGCGCCTTGGTGCGTCCGGCGGCGCCTGCCCCGTGGTGGGTGTGGCCCGCCTGCTCCCACGCGCTGCAGGGGACAGCGACCCTGGGCTGGGCAGTGGAGTCGCCACGTCGTCTTGGCAAGCTTATGACGTGCGGTCGGTGGTTTGCCGCCGCCTCGTGTACCATCCATCCATCCATTCATTCATTCAACACAGACCTTCCAGCGGCTCCCTGGGTTATGTGGATACCTTGGTGGCCCATACTGGAGCCGACCCTGCCCCCTTGAGGGCGGCGGAAACGAACTCGGTAGGCACTGCCAAGAGAGCAAAATTACCAGGTGACTTACTCGACTGGCCCCAAAGAATGACTTATCCCTTGGCACCTCGAGTCTGTGAAGGAGCCTCATTCATTCGCTCGGGCACTGCTCCCTTGAAGCGCCGGTGGGGTGAGGTAGCATGGCGCCTTGGCCTGCGTCCTGTGGAGCATCTTTGACAGGGAAGTCCCTGTTTGGGCTGCCTTCTCCCCCTACTCCATTTGCAGCGGTGGTGCTGTTTAGGGTGTGGAAGGAGAGACAGAAGGGACTTCATTTATCTCCTGCAAGAATCAAGGAAAAACCACTTTAACTCTAATGTCTGCTCTGTGTGGTTCTACAGCGAAGGAGTTACAGCTCTAGTGGCTGGGGGTCTCCCTGGAGCCGGGAGCTCCAGCCTGGTCTCCTATGTGGGTAGCAGGGACCCAGGCACTTCCACTGCTTTCCCAAGCTCTTTAGCAGGGAGCTGGATGCAAAGTGGAGCTGCCAGCACTGGAACCTGCACTCTGATGGGGATGGCGGTGTCACAAGCTGTTGGGGCACAGTGTCTCACAGGGCCAGCCATCCCCAGAGTTGTTACATTTCAACCTCGGCTGCTCTTGGGAATAGCATGAAGTTCTCTCAACATTTGTTACAAGGAAAAATCTTCTATAATTGTGCTTATTAGGATATTTCTTTCTGTTTGGTTTTGTTCTAGCTTCTGCACAAAACAATTGATGGCATTTGTGGTCGAGCTTATCCGCTTTCCCAGGATTATCAAAGCATTTGGGATTCTACAGAATGGATGCATGTTCTGGAAGACATTACCCAATTTTTCAAAGCTGCTGTTGGTAAAAATTTATCTGATGAAGAGGTAACTTCCCTCCAAGTTTCTATACCTTATAATAAATAATAAGTCATGCCCAGATTGTTTTTAAACTTAGTCCTTAGAGCACTATAGAATATGAGGACTGTTGTCGGTAAGTATATTTTCTAACAGCAAAATCCTTACAAGTTTAAGTGGAAAATCCGATTGTGGAAGTTCTGGGTTTTTTGTAGTTTTATTTCTGAATACTCTTTCAGTTGTGAGCATTTCTCAGGGGAGGGGACTGTCCTGCTCATGGACCACGTAGGCCGGCGAAATCTTTGGTCTGGCCCTGCCAAGGCAACTGCAGGTGGAACTAAATTCAGTAAGTCTATAGCAGGCTAATTTTTTTTTTTTTTTTGACAGATAGAGCTAGACAGTGAGAGAGACAGAGAGAAAGTTCTTCCTTCCATTGGGTCACCCCACTGATAGCTGCTATGGCCAGAGCTAAGCCAATTCGAAGCCAGGAGCTGGGTGCAGGGCCCAAGCACTTGGGCCATCCTCCACTGCCTTCCCAGGCCACAGCAGAGAGCTGGACTGGAAGAGGAGCAACCGGGACTAGAACCTGGTGTCCATATGGGATGCCGGCGCCACAGGTGGAGGATTAGGCAAATGAGCCATGGAGTCGGCCCCAGCAGGCTAATTTTTAAGTTGATAATTTTGTATGGCCTGAGAGTGATGTTATAAATATCCACATTGTCCTTGACAGAAAAAAGGTTCCCCACCCCTGATTAAAAGCATACAGAAGAAAATAGAAGTTATATGACAGCTACATTTCCATGGCCAAAAACAGTTGTTTTACATTTTACTTTGTGTGTTTCAGTTGGTGTATTTGTTTTTTTTTTTTTTTTTTTTTTTGTGACAGGCAGAGTGGACAGTGAGAGAGACAGACAGAGAGAAAGGTCTTCCTTTAGCCGTTGGTTCACCCTCTAATGGCCGCCGCGGCTGGCGCGCTGCGGCCGGCGCACCGCGCTGATCCGATGGCAGGAGCCAGGAGCCAGGTGCTTTTCCTGGTCTCCCATGGGGTGCAGGGCCCAAGCACCTGGGCCATCCTCCACTGTACTCCCTGGCCACAGCAGAGGGCTGGCCTGGAAGAGGGGCAACCGGGACAGAATCCGGCGCCCCGACCGGGACTAGAACCCGGTGTGCCGGCGCCGCTAGGCGGAGGATTAGCCTAGTGAGCCGCGGCGCCGGCCGGTGTATTTGTTTTAGAGATGGCGTTCTAGAGGTAACCTAAATACTCTTGCACTCCACCTGGAAACGCCACCCCTACTTAGAGACCAGCACTCTTTGTTGAGCATGGCACTTGTCTTTTGTGTTCCATATTATATGTTTGTGTGCCTCAGTAAGCAATGGACGCAATCCATTCCGATGTTTAGATGTGTAACTTGTAAATGACAACATAATGTATCCCTTTGTAAGTTGTTTTTAATGCAAGGTGTCTTTTATATTTAGTTGACTCAATGTGGACAACTAAGAATCTAGTGCATATATTTTGACCCTTCATAGTATTTGATTATAATTATTAAAATATTTTTTTAAAAATTTATTCATTGGAAAGCAGAGTTAGAGAGAGAAGGAATGAGTGAGAGAGAGAGAGAGATCCTCCATCTGCTGGCTGGTTCACTCCCCAAATGGCTGCAATAGCAGGAGCTGGACCAGACCAAAGCCAGGAGCTTCTTCAGGGTACCCCAAGCACTCCGGCCATCCTCTGCTGCTTTCCCAGGCCATTAGCAGGGGGGCTGGATCGGAAGTGGAACAGTTGGGACTCGAACCGGCACCCATGTGGGACGCTGGCATCACAGGCGGTGGCTTTACTGGCTCCACCACAATGCCAGCCCCAAATAAGATCTATTTATTTATCCCCCACTGAAGAACCATTTTGCTGTCACCTCTTCCTTTGTGACAAGTGTTGGTATTGTGAGCGCTTTTGTCCCTGTCTTCTCGTGTGCACCTGGATCAGCGTCTCTAGGGCAGGCATCCTGAAGTGCAAGTGCACAGGCTTCCCTTCTCATTGAGCTGCTTTTGCATCTTCATCAAGAACCATGTACGTATATTTGAGTAGGTTGCTTACTTTTAAAAAATGGGGTTCTCTTATGTTCATCCTACTGATTTGGATGGTATTCTGGAGGTAAGCCCTTAGAGGGATGTGTTTTAAATACCTTGTTTTATGTGGCTTGTCTTTTCACCCTCTGTATTAGTCAGTTTTGCATAAGGAAATGTGTTGGACACAGATGCACACACACACAGGCTGGCTTGTTAAGGTGCACACAGATTGGTGAGAGTTTCATCTTCCTGTTTAATGGGCCCTTTGCCATGCTCTTCTGTTTCCTGTGGTACTGCTTGCCCTCAAGGCTGCATTGTGTGATGTGTGCGCATGGCTGTGGCTTTGGTGCTGTGTAGGTGTAGTCACCTCTGTGCTGCTTGATCACCCAACCCTTTTTTTTCAGTTTCTATTTTGCAGAAATTTGTTAAAACTGATTTGATAGTTTTTCATTCTTACTCTCCTTAAGATACAAGAGTCTTTCTCCTTTTAATATTGTTTTAAAAATCATGTGAGGGGGCTAGTTCTGTGGTACAGTAGGCTAACTGTCCCGCCTGTGGCGCTGGTATCCCATATGGGTGCTGGTTCATGTCCCAGCAGCTCCTCTTCCGACCCAGCTCTCTGCTATGGCCTGGGAAAACGGTGGAAGATGACCAAATCCTTGGGCTCCTGTACCCGTGTGGGAGACCGGGAAGAAGCTCCTGGCTCCTGGCTTCGGATTGGTTCAGCCCTGGCTGTTATGGCCATTTGGGGGAATGAACCAGTGAATGGAAGACCTTTCTGTCTTTCACTTGTTCTGTAACTCTGTCTCTCAAATAAATAAATAAATAAATGTTGGAAAAGAATGTGTAAGAGTAGAAATATGTTTTTACAATTAGAGCAGATTAGCCTTTTTATTCTCTAACCATTTATTTATATTTTCATAGATATTTCAGCAGTTGAATCAGTTGAATTCATCTCATCAAGAAGCTATCATGAAATGCTTGAAAAGTAGAAAAGATGAAATCAAGCAGGCTCTGTTAGGAGAAATCATTGATATTTCCTCTGCACAGCTACAGGACTTTGATTGGCAGTTAAAGGTAAGAATCCATTTATTTGTGAGTATGTATGTTTTTCATTTTTTGGATTTAGAGAAGCCTATCATATGTATCTAAAATTTGTGTTATTCTGAGAATACATTGATCCAAAGAAATACCAAAGACAGTTTAAATTGTAACTTTTTCATTAACTTGGACACAAGTATACTACAAATATCAAAACTGACTATAATATTGTGTTGATAAATAACTAGATCTGTAAGTCATTCAGTGCTATATGTGGTGGTAGGGTAATATATATTCAACTTGTGTCTGGCCAGTCAGGAGCAGAGCCAGGGTATCAAACCCTGGCACTCTGATCTGGGACTGAGATGTCCTAACCAGTGTTTTAATAGCTAGGCCAGATACCTTCCCCTGATGGCTCTAGTATTGTTTTCCACTGTTAAATCTTCTTGGTTAGTTTAGTAATTTTAATAGCAATTACATTTAGTAATCTTTTTGGTTAGTTTAGAAAGTCTGCCAAACTTAAGAAATAGTTAAACAAATTAGAACCCAACCGAAAAATAGTGTCCAGAAACTTAAAATCATTGTATGTGAAATTGCCTTGGAACATGTGAGACTATGTATCTGGAAAAGGTACAACCTAATAGGAATGAGACAACTTGAAAAGTCCGTGGATGAAGGAACAGACCTGTGCCCTGTGATTCCAGAGAGCAGACAGGGGCTAAGGTGTATCATTTGTGATAAGATAAATTTGAATTCAACTGGGCAAAGAACTTAAGAACTGTGTGTACCTGGAAATGGTTATAATCCCTTCTTATGGTGGTATGTTCCTCATTCATTGGCAGTATTCAAGCCTAGGCTGAGAAACCATTTATAAGAAACACTGAAGAGAAGTATTTATGGATAGACAACCTGATGGTGCTATTTCTAAATCTCAGATAGTATGAGTCCTCTTTTTTGGATCAGAGAATAGAAGAGATAAAGGTTGCTGTGAAAAGTTCATTGGAAGTGGAATTAAAACCAGCGGAAGGGAGCTATTTATATGTCTCCTTCTCTTTGCCTGTCCCCCATCCCTCCGTGTGACTTTGAAATGAAAAAAATAAATTTAAAAGTTGAATTTATTTTGGTACAAAAATGATATACATTTTTGTGATAATTTTGAAGACCTACTGTATGCATGGATTTCAGAATTTTGTACACCAAAATAAGCCTATAATGTAATTATGTTTTTTTTTTTTTCCCACAAACTTCCTGTCGTACCCTCATGTGTGAAGATTTGTTTGTTGTGTGCACCACAAGGGGGTTATCTGAGGCTGTTTGTTAAGGAAGGTGTCCTTACCACTGCACATGAGAGTAGTGGCACTCCAAACACGATTCACTTATGGAATTTTCTGGCTCAGACTCAAGGAAAATTGATTTCCTTTTTGCTATCTGCAAAGCCACAGTGATTGTTTCAAACAGGATAGTACCATAAATACTGTATCCGGTTCTTCCAGTTCCCCTAGGATGCATACACTCTAGAAATAGAAACTAAGATAGGTAAATATGTTGAGTGGCTCTAATTGGACATGGTATCTTGATAATCTTTCTTGTTGATTGTTTAGTAGTTGCCTGATTATGAATTAAGCATCTTGATTTCTGAGAGTTTACTAGTAGTTTTAGTCTCATTTATCTTTGTACATGGGCTTCCACCTTCTTGGTGTCTTTAACCTTTAAGAATTCATTTTTCTTGCTGCATTGGGCCTACTCAGTACTTCCCAGGCATAATTCTTACCTGGATATCTTCTGCCACAAAACTGCTGACTGAATGTTATTTTTTCCTATTTTTTCTCTTTTATTCACTCTTTTCTCTCTCTCTGTCTTTAAAGTACTTATTATATAGCATGGGTTTAACTTTCTTTGACCTTTTTCCCTGTACTTTCCTGTACAGGGATTTTTTTTAATGTACTATTATTTGTAAGCTCTCCTACATATTTAATATAGTCCCAATTACTATTTTTGAAAGATTTTATTTTTTATTTATTTGAATGTCAGAATTACAGGAGAGAGAGAGAGAAAGAGAGAGATGGGGGAGGAAGGGAGGGAGAGAGAGAGAGAAGAGAGAAAGAGAAAGAATTTTCTGTCCATTGGTTTACTCCTCAAATGGCTGAAACCGTCAGGCCTGGGGCAGGCTGAAGCCAGGAGCCAGGAGCTTCATCTGAGTCTCACACCTGGATGCAGGGACCCAACCCCTTGGGCCATCTTCCGCTGCTTTCCCAGGCACATTAGCAGGGAGCTGGATCGGAAGTGGAGCAGCCAGTAGTAGCATTGGTGCCCATATGGGATGCCTGTGCTGCAGATGGCACCTTTACCCCCTGTGCCACAGTGCTGCCCTCCCCCCCATTTACTATTTTCTAATTACTTTTTTCCCTAATTTTATGCAGCTTGCACTTTCTAGTGACAAGATTGCTACACTACAGATGCCACTGTTAAACCTTCAACTAGATGTCAAAGAAAATGGTGAAGTAAAACCATATTCTATTGAAATGAGTAAAGAAGAACTTCAGAATCTAATAAATTCCTTGGAAGCAGCTAATAAGGTATTTCATTTAATTTTGTCGTACGGTTTAAATGTTTTTGCTTGATACCATTAGAAGAGGTGGGGAACATCCAGCCTGTGGGCTGTATAAGGCCTGTGCAATCATTTGGTCTGGCCCTGCCAAGGCAATTACAGTAGGGACTCGAAATTCAATGAATCTATGGTAGGCTAGTTCTTAAGTTGATAATTTTGTATGGCCAGCAAACGATGTTATAAATATCCACGTGGCCCTTGGCAGATAAAAGGGTCCCCCCTTTTGCCTTAGAGCAATATAAGAAAATATATTTCACTTTTAATGTTTCTCTCTTCCCAGATATTTTATATCAAGCACAGGAAATGCTTTGTTACTGTTTTCTGATCTAGAGATCAGACCTAGGTCAGTTTTAAATATTAAATTAATTAAAACTTTAAGTGTTCAGTTACCTAGTTGGGGCCATAGATTTTCAAATAGTTATTTTTGAAAGACTGATTGTGCCGTTCTAACAGCTAGTGTTTTGATGCAGTGCTTGTTGGTGATAAAAATAAAATTTTTACCTTAGGTCATGAAATTTGTTTATTCTAAAGAGTCTTTAATGATTAAAACAAACAGGACTCCAAAAAAAGTATCTTAGTTGGCTAGACAAATGATAGAAAATAAGACGGCTCTTAGTGGTTATGACAAAATCAGGTTGAGACAAGATGGCACTATTGCATGTTCTTAAAAACTTCACATTGTCAGTGGAGTGACTCAATAGCTACAAACACTCCTAATGTTTAAGAAATGTGAAAAATAATGCTTAAACAGTAGAAACTGTTGCTGTGGGGAAGACATTAAAGTAAATATGTTTGTGTATGTTTGTTCTTTGTTTATTGCCCAGCATTTTCAACCAGCGATTTGGTCTTAGTGATTAAGTCTGTTACTCTCACCTCCCTCTCTTGCTGCTGATCAGTTGTCTTGAGCCTGCCCTTTTAAGTCCCTGTTGTGCTTCAGCGTCTCTCCATGCTCTGTATTTGCTCAAATATTTCAGTGTCTTAGTGTCTAGTGTTGAGTAATCAAACTGATTGTCTGAGCCTGGCTTGTCTTTGGTTTGGCAGAGCCTTGTATGATTGTTGAGTGACTCTTGAGCCCAGCTTCCAGTAGCCTGTGCTATCAGTTACTTACTTGCTATTAGCTCTCCGTGCCTTTCTTCACCGATTGGAAAGCATGCTGTTTAGTGATATCAGCATCATCTGGTATAACCTGATATTTCTCCCCTCCTCCATTTGTGTTTGAAGGTGGTCCTGCAGTTGAAGTAACTGGAATGGACAAAGACCAGTGCTGTCAGAGTTCACTGCTACAACTCCTATGGCAGAGTGGATACTGTGTGTTCATTCAGAAACCCTTCTGTGTATTGACTGCTTGATCAAGCTGAGCAAGAAGCAGTGTGGAGATTACAAAGATAAAAACTTATCAAATCCCCAAAGAACAGGAAATTACATGGTGGACAGGAAGTGCATAAGATGAAAGATGAAAAAGCCATAGTAGCAGTTTATATTTTCATAATGATTGTTTTGTCTCATTTATTAAGTATTTGAGAAATCTTTGTAGATATATAGTTTTATTAAAAATAAAAATAGGTTCTAAAGTAATTAAGCATACAAAGCACAAATATACTTAAATATTGCCTAAAGAATTATGTGAATAGCAAGGACATGTGTTATGGATATGTAATTAATTTGTGATATTTAAAAACAACTTTCTAAAAGAATGTATAAGCTGCGAATATAACTCAGGACATTCCATATCTTTCTTGTATTTCAAAGGCAAGATTATAAAATGTAACATTTCTTAAGAGAAAAGCTCTTTGTCAGACATGAATAATAGAAAAATACTCCAAATTGGTGTGGAAAATTTTGAGTTTATGAATTCTAGAAACTAAAATCTAGAACAAAGAAAATAAAAACAGCACTATTACTTATGCATTTCTGTATCTGTTAGATGACTATGCTCTACTAAAAGGAATAGATGTCATTGTATAGTGTATATATTCAAATATATAAGATGAAGATCTGCTTTTGTTATAGACTCTTAATATTGAATTTAACTCTTGGATATTAACAAGTTGGAAAGCCAACTGTTTTTAACTTCAGTTAACTTTTAAAAACAAACATTTGGAAGAAATAAAAAGCTATATTTTATTTTTACATGTTGCTTTATTTCAGATAACTTTCTATGTAATGCAGTAGTCAAAAATACATAACTCATTTGTGCCTGCTGCTTGCAAGCGTTATGGCTCATTAGACCACCAGACTGTTCTTTGAGGGTGTCCAGGGCGATTATTACTTTTCTCATACAAATGAAGATAGGCGGAGGGAGTTGCAGTGAATATGTGAGTGTGATCTAAACAGCGCTACCCAAACTGTGCCTGCTGTACAAATTTGTTACAGGTTGGGGATTAGACAAGGAGCTTGGGACAGAACGTTCATCAATATGTTGTTTTCTTCATCAAGAAGTTTTGGTTATGATGAAGTATCAGCTGAATTAAGCAACATGCTAAATGTGGCTGTTGATTTTACCTTTTTTTTTTTTTTAAAGATTTATTTTTTGAAAGGCTGAGTTACAGAGAGGCAGAGAGAGAGAGAGAGAGATGTCTTCTATCATTTGGTTCACTCCCCAAATGGCTGCAGCAGCTGGAGCTGGGCCAATCTGAAGCCAGGAGCCGGGAGCTTCTTCCTGGTCCCCCATGTGGGTGCAGGGGCCCAAGTGCTTGGGCCATCTTCTTCTGCTTTCCCAGGCCATAGCAGAGAGCTGGATCAGAAGTGGAGCAGCTGAGACTTGAACTGGTGCCCATATGGGATGCCGGCGCTGCACGTGGCAGCTTTACCCGCTGTGCCACAGCGCTGGCCCTGATTTTACCTTCTTGTCATGCAGCAGTGATGGTGTATAGATAGGTGCCTTGGGTAGCACTGATCTTGAGATCTCTTCTGAATTTCTGCCTTCAATGCAGTATGTATCTCCTTTGCAAGGATGAAATCTGTGCTCAGTTCTCTTCTCACCGCATGGTGTCATTTCCTTAGCACATCTGACACCTTCACTGAACTCTAACTGGTTTACTGCATGTATTCAGCACATATTTAAAGTGTGAGGTTGGAGAAGTTCTCACATATACAGGTTTGCCTTTGAAAGCATCACCATAACAAGAGAGTGAACATATTGATCACTACTTTATGTTTCCTCCCACTCTTCTGTTGTCCCTGCCCCTGACACCTTCCCCCAAGAGACCATTGATTGACTTCCTGTCAGTAAAGACTGGTTGTATTTCAAGAGTGTAGTATGTACACCTAATTTTTAGTCTGACTTCTTTCAGCACTATTTTGAGTTCTATCCTTGTTGCACATATCAATAGCTCATTTTTATCGTTGAGAAGTAGTATGTTGTAGAGATTAAATTTTTTTTTAAAAAGTTTACTTGAAAGAGACTAAGAAAGATATCTTCCAGCCATTTGTTCAGAGAGAGAGAGAGAGAGAGAGAGAGAGAGACTAAGAAAGATATCTTGTAGCCATTTGTTCACTCCACAGATGTTTGCAACAGCCAGGGTTGGGCCAGGTTGAAGCCAGTAGCCTGCAAAACTCTTTACACATCTCCAATGGTGGGTTATAGGGACTCAGGGACTCGAACCTTCACCTGCTTCCTTGCAGGGTGTGCATAAGCTGGAAGCTGGATTGGAAGTAGAGCCAGGACTGAAACCCAGGGATTCTAATATGGGATGTGAACTTCCCAAGCAGTGATTTAACTGTGGTGCTAAGTGCCTACCCCTGTCCTAATTGATCTTTTAATCAGTGATGGATATTTTGCTTGACTCAAGTCTTGGGCTATTAGAATACACAGCATGCTATGAACGTTCCTGTATTCTTTTAGTACACACTTTGGAGTGAAATGGTTCGTGTGGTAGGTTTGTCTTCAAGATACTGCCCAACTATTTTTCAAAATGACTTTGCTGTTTTATGTTCTCATTGTGAAGTTCCAGCTTCACGCCAACACTGGTGTGATCAGTCTTTCATTTCAGCTGCTCTGTGTATAGTGGTATCTCACTGGGATTTCAACAGTCACTTCCTGGGCCAGTGTTGTACAGTGGGTTATCTCGCCACCTGTGATACTGGCATCCTATATGGGTGCTAGTTTGAGTCTTGGCTGCTCCACTTCCAATACAGCTCCCTGCTAATGCACCTGGAGATCAGTCCAAGTCCTTAGATCCCTGCATCCACATGAGAGGCCCAGATGGAGTTCCAGGCTCCTGGCTTTGGCCTAGCCCAGTGCTACCTGTTTGGGCCATTTGGGGAGTGATGGAAGATCTCTCTCCCTCTCTGTAACTCTACCTTTCAAATAAATAAATCTTAAAATCACTTCCCTAATAATATTGAGCATATTTTAATGTGTTTTTTTTTCCATTTGTATTTTCTTGGTGAAGTTTCTCTTCAGATCTGTTGCCTCCCCTGCCTTCGTTTATTGGATATAGTTTGTTTTCTTAGTATTGAATTTTGAGAGTTCTATATATATTCTGAATACAAGTGCATTATAATGTATACATGGGTACTTCATGAAGTTTGTGGAAAAATGCATATTTTAATTGTATTTTTGCAAACTTTTTGAAGTACCTTCATATGCCTTATTGATATTTTCTCCTATGCGCCATAAATCTTATTTTTTAAAGAACAGTTTAGATTTACAGAAAAGCAAAGAATAAAGCACGGAGAGTATTCATATGCCCTACACCATTTTCCCTATTACTGACATCTTATGTTATATGATATATTTGTTATAAATAATAATACATACTTAAGAAATTACGTAATTTATTCAGATAGCTTGTTTTTGCCCAATATGCTTTTTCTGTTCTGAGATTCTATCTTAGTTACCATATATTTAATTCTATCCTGTTAGGTTCCCCTTGCTCTGACAGTTTTCCAGACCCCTTTCTTTGGTGATCTTGATAGTTTTAAAGAGTGGGGGTGAGGTGTTTTGTAGCCTATCCCTCTGTTTCT